CATCTAAGCCCTGAAGAAAGAATTATTCATTTTCTCATGGGCTTTTCTAGGGCAATCGTGATTATGGTGTCTGCTTTGCAAGCATAAATTGATTTATCTTCATAGCACCCTCATGAACTGGGAGAGTTTTACTTATAGATGGGAATGGCTGAGACACAGAGAGCTTAAGGTCCAAGCATCCACTATTTTGAAACAACTCAAATCTGATTTTTTTTAGTGCATTTATTTTACAACATTTCAGTTCAAAGCACAACTCCTGTTGAGTTACATGGCAGCTGAGAATGCTCAGCACTTCTGCAAACTGGATGCCAGGGGTTTGAGTCAGACCCCACACCCCCCCAAAAACAAAATGAGAAATATGTAATTAATGGTCATCAATGAGAAGATTTAAACGATGTGCTTAGCACAACAGCTTTCAACCACCCTTCATCTCTCTGCAGTCTCCTGCCTCATTAATTTTCAACCTCTGTACCAAGCAGGGCAGGGATTTTATACAACCACACCTTTTAAATTATTATTCTACACACCTTCCTGATTCATCCCCAGAGCAAGCCCATCCTGTGCATGGAATAAGGATAAAAAAGTAATATGTCACCTGATACTTAAAACTTACGATATGCTTATGGGGGATGGATGAAGGTAACCCAGGCCATCTGCAATTTGGCTCTTCCTAACCTTTAAGTGTTTGACTTGGAAAACATGATTTGAACATATCTTTTATTTTCTGGTGGGTCACATACTTTTTATTCATATTTTGTGTTGCAAATATCCATTTCTAAATTCCCTACCATTCATCTTGCCTACCATGGGCTGCCCTTCCCTGAGATTCCTCTTTGGGCTTGGTCTTGACATTTTAATGTGATAAATGCACATCAGACTTTACATTTCCATCACCACCTACTTGACTCTGCTCTTGTGTCATTTGAATGTCAGCAATGTGCTGTTTCATGGCAGATAATCTCTCCCTTTTTGGGCTGTGTGTGTAGGGGGTGAGGGCAGAGATGCATTTCTCATCTTGCTCCACATTTATTACATTCCTGTTTCTCTACCTCCTCTGCAGTAATAAATCAATGCTACTTGTTATTGTCTACTCCTTGGGCAGTGCTTGGGAGAGGTTAGCTATCCTGGCTGTAATTTTGTGCGCTAAAAAAAAAAAAAAATCCTCTCGTCCACAGACATTTACATTAAGGACCCTATCTGGGCTTTGTAAGCCAGATCCACCCTTCTAGGAGAGCCCTCTGTCCCCTGCTGTGTTCCCTGAAAGTCACCATTGACAGACTCCAGCTGTGTTCTAGCTGAATTGGCCAGAATATTTCTGGGAATGCAGACTGGAGTAGGAGGAGTGCATTCCTCTCTTGTATACAGGAGAGTCACGGGCTCCCGCTGCTCTACCCTGGTGCACTTAGGGCTTCTATCAGCTCTGCCAGTATTAGACAACCCCAGTCCCTGTATGCAGGGAGCACAAAGGCTGAGAACATGGCTGTCCCTTGTAGAGGTGTGCTGGAATGTCTAGATGCTTGCACATCCTCAAGGTAGCTGTGGATGAAGAAAAAAAATGTACCTTATACACAGTTTATTCTGTGGTATGCTCAGGAGCAGCATACGTCTCCCAGAGCTGCTACAGCGACATAATAGTGGGTTGTGGAATATTGTATTTGCTGGCAGAACTGCACAAAGTCTTTCCCTGACACCATCTCCCTGCCAGTATGCTGTTGTCTAGACCAGCGAGTACAGATCCCTTTTCCATGTGTTTTCAGATTCTCCACAGGAACAAAAAAGTACCAGTTAACTAATGTAGTGAAGCAGGTTTTTATGTCACCACTGAGAAGACTCCAAGAATGGAAAAGCTAGTTTATAATGATTCATACTGGAAAAGTACATACTCCTGGCAAACTAACTGGGCCCTCAGTGGGAAATTAGTACAGGAGACAGTGGTATGACTGACCCACACCTGAAAGAAGCTGCCATATTTTCAAAGGAGCACCCACCTACATGTGTTAACTCCAGTTGCAAGATAAGCAAGCATTTGTAAAAATGCTGAGCTGCCCTCAGATTTCACTTGTCCCTGGATTTAACTGCAACAATTCAAACTGCAGCAATTCAAACATTAGCACAGTATTTCTAAACAAGTTTGCAGGGAGCTGTCTGAGCTCCAGGCCTACAGGATGGAGAATAACCTGAAATGCATTATAGGTTAGAGGCTTGACTTGCCCCATGGTAAGTTGAGACTTAAGGGCCTCTTTATTTTGTATCTGGCTGAAATGTTAATGTTTAAAGCTTTTATTCATTGTTCTCAGCATATTCCTTTTAACAATGTTTTTTCATACACAGGTGAGAATTTGGTCCATTGAGTAGATAGCCTGTGCTGACCAAGCACCTTTCTTCCAGATTAAGAGAACAAAACAAGAAAGAACAGAAGCAACGTTGCCAGGAGGGGGCACTGGGGAACAGTCATCTCTCCTGTCTACAGTCTTCACTTCACTTCCCTTCTTCAAATGGATGCCTGAAGCTATAGGCAGACAATTCCTATAGCACTAAAGATCCAGTGCATAGGAAAATAAGCCCTAACAAATATAAGTTTCAGAATGTAAAGCTCTTAGGTTGACGACCACCAGACCAAGAGCTAGCTTTGTCTGAACTTTAATGGAGGGAACAGATGCTTTAAACTATTAAAATCTTTCACAGCAGATAATTTCTTAACAGGGAGCTGCATTGGGCACGCTCTGTGTCTCCTTTCCACTGAAGGAAAGACATGCGTTGCTAACAGTAGTAGGCAACAAATAGCATGAAGAGTGGAGAAGCAGCTTGATATGTGAAAAAATGAGCTCCCTTTTATGTGGCAGAGGAAACTTTCCAAGGCCCCAAAATGCATGTGATGATAAGCAGATAAAAATCTTCCTTTTTATATACTGAAAGGGGTTTTGTCTTTTTTTTTTTTTTTTTTTTTTGAGGTTGATATTCCCCAGCATTAATACAGCTGCCAGGGGACAAATGCTCATTGTGGAGGAAATTATATCTGCTTACAAGTATAGCTTGGCCCTTTTGGGATGTTATGAACACCTCTGGTTATAAAATTTCCCTTTCACCATGATGCAGGGTCTGGAGAGAGAGAGCATGAATTAGCAAGTGAGAGTGAGCCTGGCTTAGAAGTGAGGCAAAAGTAGATGAAAGACAAATTGGCTCTGACTACTCTGTATATCCCTCAAAATCTAGATACTGGAGTACTGCCCTGCCTAGAGCTCGCCTTGTGCCCCAGAAATCGCACACCAATGCAGGAAGTGTTGCTAGTCTTCACAATGAAGTCTGTGCTGTAATTCTGCTTATCTTGAGCTATAAGGGAATACTGAAGCAAGTGGGTACTTAAAGATAAAATGGATTATCTGAAGTGTTGCTGTCTCTTCACATTTCGCTTTTTACAACTCTCACTTGCTGATTATAATTATACTTTAATTGCTTGTATAATTGCAGTTATATAACAACTAAGTTGTACAGTAGCTGCCAAAAGCATCTATTAAGTGGTTTTTTTATCATTAATTGAGTCTAAATAATTCCACAACAGCTCTAATTATCATGCTCCTCAGAGATTGTGGGCTACAGTGTAAGACTGGACTTATGTGCTGCTTTGAACAGGGATGGACCAAATTTTCTTGTCAGAAACATGTTATCTGATGATTCAGATTGTGTATAGGCTTGCAATGTTAATAGTGAGAACAAGAAGTACACCATGAAAATGAGAGTATTTGAATGTTAGATGCATAGAAGTCTGGAAGCTTGGGGGTACCCCCTCTTAAACTAACTGCAATGGAAGCCTTTGCTGTGTACTTCTGAAAACACTTCCCAATTATCTATGAGGTGGGACAAGAAGATTTCACACCTCGTACGACCAAAGGTGGTGGGAAGGTCCAGCAATATGAATATGATCCATGGCTAAAAGGAATTTTAATGTTAAACATTAAAAGGAATTTTAATACATTCTAGAGCAGGGAACAATCTGCTTGTGCCACTAGAGCCATTTCTATTCCACACATCAGCTGGAAGCAGAACTGGAAGGAGTCCAGGATACCAGCAGCATTTAGATGGAACCAGAGGTAACTTTTGTCAAGGCTTACAGCACGCAGGAACTTTGGATCTGGCCCATGAACATGGCAGCATTCGGCAGAGGGCATTTTCCTTGTCCTGCCATGGAGATGAGCACCAAATGTGGGCACTCCTTCCATGCTGCTGCAGGGACAAGTGGTGGCGGGGTCCTGGTGCTTGCTTGTCTTTCACCAGGGGTGGATCATTCATTCTGGCCTGCAGCTGGAACAGGTTGCCTATCACTGGTTAAGACTCTTCCTCAGTTTGTTGAAGACTGAGAAATTAGATACAGAGAAATTATGCTCAGAGAAGGTAACTGCGTTGAGTGATGGTTTCTAAATAAGGAGAAGCATGAGGTGGAAGGTAGTTTTCTGTTCTTGAAGCTGATATTGAGTATCTCATGGTAGGCATTTCAGGTGCTCTTGATTTTCCCCCCCCCCCCCAGCAAAGAAAGGAATGGATCAAAACTGTAGGAGGTGGCTTGGCTCTTCAGCAGTGCTCCTAGGACTTTCTCTTGTGTGAATAGGCTGGAGGAATTGGGCCTGTGACCACTGCATGGATCTTGGGCTTAATGTGCCATTTGGATATAAGTGATTTCTCTGTGAGGTAGCCTGACATTTTTTTCCCAGTGAAAGGTACTAGATTATAGAGTTAAGGCAAAATATTCTAGGTTAACAAGAGCAATCATAGCCTCAGTTTAACTTTCACTTACTGTGGGATAGACATGGACAGATAAACCAGTTAGAAAATCAGCAACACTGCAGAAAATCTCTCTCCACTTCAAACCAGAATAATCATTCTTCTCTTCATGCCATGATTTTCTTGACTTGTTGGATTCACTGGTATTCTTCAGAAGTGGTCACAAGGCGCTGTCTCATGCTCTCTCTCTTTCTCTCTCTCACTCTTTCTCTCTCTTTAGTGAGCACCCAGAAGATGACCTTCAGCAATCATAATCTTAGTCAAGAAACAGAAATAAAAAAGCATCTCATTTCAGTGCCTATGGAAAGGCTTGTGTAGATGCATCAAAATTTGGGTGGTGTTTCTTATCCATGTGAATCAAAATATCCATCTCAAAAGTAAGTGGAAAGGGAATGAATGCAAAACTTCAGTTCTTTTAGATATGGCTTTGATAACGATTTGTCCATGACTGACTGCTACAAAGAAATGTTACAGCAGGGAACAATCTCAGTTCATCTTGTACTGAAGCCAGACACAGAATCATGTAGTGCTGTGTCTAATACGTAGGTCAGTATCTCCTTCACATTTGATACTTTTCACATAAGAAAGAACACAGTGAAAATTACCACACCTATAGGTAGGGACCTACTTAGTTCATGGTTTTGCAGATTTCATGGAAACCACACATTTCAGGACTGTCTGCAAAATCCACTAAATGAACAAAAAAACCTCCAATAAAATAAAATTCTGACTCCCCAGTGGGAACCAGTGGCCCTTGCTGCTAGGAGAAGAAGGTGCCAACTGGCGGGGCGGCACAAAGAGCAGCAGACAAGAAGGCAGCTGCATCCTTCTCCCTGTTCCCCCTGCTGGGTCCTCTCCACCAATCAGCACCTTCACCTTCACCACAGCAGGGCCACCGTGAAATGTCCATGAAGTCGGCTCCATGTGCCACTAGCAGGCCATGAAAAAATCTGTCTCGCCACAAGTTAAGTAGGTACCTACCCATAGCACACCCTCCACAAAACCAGAGATATAAAATTGACACCACTAAGCAGTAGCTATCCACTCCATCTCTATCCATAATGTCGCTGTAATTCTAGATTAATCTGTTTCTACCATTGATCGACAAGATGGCTTTAAAGGAAGCCTCATGGCTCATGCTACCTACCTAACTCAGGGAGGAATGAGATCAGTTGAGAAACATGCAAGAATGGCGAACACAGAATATGCTCAGCCTGCCTTCAATTTCACCCCTTCTATTGCACTTAGTTATTACCGTCACTATTGACAGTGAGTTACCCCTATTCTCCCACTTACGCTGCAGCATGGATGGTGACTTCCACATAGATATGCTTAATTGTTACCAGTGATTGTCATGGTAGCATTAACCTGTTTATTATTACATGGCATGAGAAAATTAAATGATCAATATCAGATTGAGTGCTCATTGTTCTTACTTTATATTTATAATTGCTGGTGGGATGAGAGAATAATTACTAGGCTGGGTTAATTACCATTATCAGTATCCTCTGTTGCTTAGCTAGAGACATGTTTGATTTAAATTGTCTATAATATTGTTGTTTTAGAAGGGAATAGTAAGGAAAGGGAAGCAACAGGAAATTAGAGACAGATCTGAGATTAATGTGATGTTTACAGGGACCCTTGACAATGTCTGTTTGCAAGGGAAGAATCCCAAAATAAAAATCTTCCAAGTGTCAATTTGCTTTGAAGTGTCACTGTCAACTTAAAAAAAAAAAAAATCACACTTTGGACTTTTTTTGTGTGTTACAAGGTAAAACCTAAAACTATTGTATTCTATTATCAACACTAAATTGCTTAAGATTATTACAGTTGAAAGGTCAGAGAAAAAATATTTATCTGATTTTTTAAATTTTGTAGTGAAATTGATAGCAGCTTGATATAAATTGACAGCAGATCAGGTTAAAACACTACAGAAAAGTTTAGAAACGTTTATATAAATTTTGAAATTAAAGAAAACCAAACGAAAAACAACAACAACAACCAACATTAACCAACTTGTGGTCAGTTTACTGTTTCCTTTTTATGCTCCACTAGCAGATTTCCATGCTGTTTGTGAATATTTTCCATACAGCTGCAGAGGAGAGAAAAAACATTATAATTGCATTTTGAAAAATATTTTTAAAACCAGTATAGTGCATATTGTCCAAGATGTTGATGCTTCAATGAGATCTGAGTGTAAACCAAGATCTGATCATGCCTTGCTCATTATAAAATTTGGACCCGATTTAGTGAAGCAGACAAAACAAAGGGGAAGGATAGCATGCATTGATATTGCTACCAGAAATATTGTATTGTATGGAAATGAGTTCTATCTTTTCCCCTCTAAAGGAGATGGCACCCCATTGACCTTTGACAAAGAGCAGGTACATGCTAAGCTTTCAGAGTGTCCTTGTTTTCTGACACCCTCCCCCACACAGGTGTAACAGCACTGACTTGCAGCCTTAAGTAACTGGTGAAAGTGTAGCAGATAAAAAAAAAAATTTAACTGTAATGAGCAGGGATCCTGGTTTTCTCTGATAAAATATCCAATTTTTTTCTCCAAAAGTAAAAAAGTAATCCCAAAGCCACATTTTCAAATCTGAAAATTGTTTGTGTTTTTTTTAATCAGAGAAAACCAGGATCCCTGGTAATGAGTGCAAGCCATTGGAGCCAGTGTCGGACATCGTGAGAGAAAGAGGGAGACAAACTTAGTTACTCTCAAGGCTTTGTTTGACAACCTCCAGAGATTTTCAGGAATAGAACAGAAAGATGCAGCACCATATGCTACCTGTTGACTTTATCTTATAATAAAGCAATCCCAGTGGGTATTAAAAGGCATGGAATTATTCTAATGAGTCTGGAGGAATCTCATTAGGATGAACAGCAGGTGCTTACAGAATATTCAAACTCTGTGCAAATGGCTTTCTGACCATTCTCTTTCTCTTTGACTAGATGTGATTTCTGAGCTCTCAGAATAGGACCTGTCAGAGAGATAATTACTCAATAAAGAAAAAACCTGAACATAGTGGTGGTCATATTTCAGGTATAACAGTGGTAGAGATGGGAGAACAACCTCACGTAATAACCTCAGTGCAAGAACTGCCACTAAGTCCTTAGACTGGTTAACTGAAGGGGAGAACAGATCTTTTTGTGTAGGGCCTCCACAGGCAGCCTTTCTGGGAACTTGCGCAGAAAAAGAGCAGATCAATGTTGCATGATGCTACATCCCAAAGTAACTTCTTTGAGAGCTGTTGGGAACGGGAACAACTTCGCTGAATGACAACAAAAGTGGCAGCTTCAGCTGGTGGAGGTAAATTATATGGGCTGCTTGCCTGCATGCTGCAAAGTCTCAACTGATGACCAGGGATCCTGCTTTTCTCTGATTTTAAAAAAATCCCCAATTTTTGGTTAAAAACAAAGTCACCACAAATCCACATTTTTCCATATATTAGTGGTGTTTCATTTAAATCATGGACAAACGGGGATTTGAGGTTACTTTTTTAACCAAAAATTGGGGATTTTTTTAAGAACAGAGAAAACCAGGATCCCTGCTGATGACTACACTGTGAACCACTCTTCTATTAAATAGGAAATCTTTGACTAGCCAACTACCATTTTGCTGGGAACACAGTTAGTTACTGTTGTATCCCATGTTGCTTCCTTGTGTTGGGCTGTGTAACCCCTAGTCTACTCAGGTTTCCAGGGCTTGAGAAGCTTTGTGTAGGGCCCTCTAGCATTTCTAGAAAATTGGGATTTCATTGTATCAAGGATATCATTAATCATTTTCCATAAATTTGTTCTTAATCAAATTCCCTTCCCTCCATCCAGGCAAGGACTCTGAAAAGCAAATGGCCCATCAGTGTGGTATTACCAACATGTCTTTTGTTTCCTGCAAAAGATGCTCCATCATGGAGGGAGAAAGGTGGGTGAATTGGTAATAATAATTTGGCATGTCATTTCCCCTCAAAGCCTCATGGAGAGAAAGAGCAGCTACTCCTTGTCTTGATCCTTCTAGCTTGAAGCTCAGTCCTTACCAAGAGTCCTAGTGACACCTTAGGGGAGGCACTGTTCCTTCCTTTTCCCCTCTCTTACAATAACCAATGCATATGGTTTGTGAGGGAGGGTCACTGTGGCCCACAGATGTGAAAATGGAGATGCTGCACTGATGATGACCAGAGATCCTAGTTTTCTCTGATAAAAAAAATCCCCAAATTTCAGATTAAAAAAAGTAACCCCAAATCCACATTTTTCCAGGATTAAAATGAAACACCACTACATATATATACATATATATGTATATATATGTAGTGGTGTTTCATTTTGATCACAGAAAAATGTGGATTTTGGGTTACTTTTTTAAATCCGAAAATTGGGGATTCTTTTTAATCAGAGAAAATCAGGATCCATGATGGTGACAAACTGTTATACACAAAGTGCTGCATGGGCCTTGAGATACTATGCTTTGCAACCATAGATCTCTAAGTGCTTTGTAAAGGAAAGCAAGTATCATTTTCTCCATTTTACATATGAAAAACCTAAGCAGACAAAGCCAGATATCAGGTCAGCAGTAGGACTGGGAAGATATCCCAGGTCTCCCAGTTCCCAGCTCATACTCAGTGTACTGTCATGTCTTGCCAGGAAGTTACATTTAGTACCACTAGAGTTTAAAGCCCTTTCTCTATCCCCATCATTGGAGACTTTTAAAAGCAGGGTAGGTGAACCTCTTTCAGGGTTGGTTTAGATGTACTTTTAGCCTGCCTCTGAGAAGTGGGAGGGACTGGGTGTCCTCCTGAGATCCCATTTCAGCCATACAACTCTAGGATGTATATATTTGGCATTCATTTTACATTTAATAATTGTATTACATTTGAGATCTGCAATCCAAGTGCTGCCAAAATTAGAGTAATCCAAGAATTACAGTAAACACTGAAATGCAGAATAGGCTCAGTTTGCATTGCACAACTGGATTATACAACCTGAGGCTTGGAGTTCCAAACTAAATGGAGAGCTATGGAAGAATGCCTTAGGCTTCTGTTTCTGTTTAGCATGCCTTGTTAACCAGTGAAAAGAAATGACAAGTCCAGTTCTCAAAAAGGAGGGCTTTCACCATATGCTTTGCTATGTATACAACTTTTTTTGGTATACTACAACAAATACAGCTTTTGATTTAATCAAATTTCTCATCATCATGACATTCTTCTGTGTTGTGTTGTGATCATCCAAGCCTTCATCTATGCAGTGGGGTGGACTAAGCTGATCCTGGAAGTAGCTTCCAGCCCTACGATTGTAATCAGCCTTTATAATATTGAAAGTCACGGTATTGCTGTCACACTGTTATTGCTACACAAACCAAGCTGGAAAGAGTACTGTCATTATTTTATCTCTAGAACAGAGATGGCAGGGAATCTGAGATGTTGCCCTGAGAATACAAAGCAAACAAACTATTTTGCTATTTTTTACACACCAGGCATCCAGAGCAATAAGCCTTACTTTATAGTAGAAGTGCTATTAAAGGCAACGGAAGTAAAATGTGCTAAATTAACTGAAGACATTTTAGGGGCTTAAATATGCATTTAAGTGCTTTAAGCATCAAGTTAGATCTAAAGGTACATCTACACTGTGCTCACTGTAGATATGCCTACGATTGATATACCTACCTTTAAGTTAGCTAGGTCAAGTACTGTTAATGGTGTAGCCACAGCAGCATGGAACTTAGTTCATTCTAACCACTTGGGTATCTTTACCTTGCTTCTCAGATAGATTTGCAGACTGTGCTAAGTTTCATGCTGTCATAGCTTGACCACTACCAGTACCTGAGCTAGCTAGTTTAAAGCTACATGAGCATGTCTACACTGTAGTGTGTGAACTGGGGTGTAGATATACCCTGAGACCCTGGAAACGTGACATGCAAACACCAATGCAACTTCTGTTGCTTTAGTACATTGATGAAAGTTATATCAGTGTCCAGAGTGGACAGTCAACCAGCCAGCCAGCTCTCCTTGTGTAGCTTCTGTAGCTATTACAGTGCCTTGCCTCTAGTGGTTACAGAGATATATCATTCTGTTGCACTGAGCAACTGACTGTCCCAGGATACAAGTGGGCACAAAACACCTACGCATTTAAAACTTACAGCATTCTAGTTTTACGCCTGATTCTTCCCAGGATAACTTAACACTGGGTCCTAATAAATTACACAGGTGGAGGGCTACACGGTATATGTCTGCAACTTTTTCACACCGGTATAATGTTGGGTAACAATTGTATAAATATGTTATGGTGCCAGCCCTAAGTAATAAAAGGAGACTGTATGGCTATGTGCCTTAGTTTCCCTTTCTGGGAAATGGGGATAGTAGTAAAACCTTTGCAAAGGGCCTTGAAACCTGGGGGTAAAAGTGCTATTAAGAAGCCTGTGGCAAAACTCACAACCCCTAACTCCACATCTTTTTTCTGTAGCTGAACATTCTCTCCTTTCACCTAGTCTGTATTTGTTGGTAGCAATCCCTAAATCCCTAGGGCTTCCCTATTCAGCTATGTTCTCTACAAAATAGTTCTTCTGTAGATGACATGTTGACTTCAAGGGTGGAGTGCTGGTGGAAAATGCAAAGGCTAGTAGACCTAGAGAGTCACTTCTGGAAGCCTGGACAGACTTCAGCAGGTTGAAAATATATTACTGTTGTTACCTGTTCCCGGAATTACTGTGAAATGCATAAACACCTGTTTCACTGAATTGCTGGGATGACGTTGAACACCAGCTTCCTGTGTTTTGTTTCCTTTAGGCACCACTGGATGGATTCCTTTAATTTCTGTCTCCTTTTCTTTGACCAACCAATATGGTAGATGATGGAAACTCTATTAATGGAGGTTTTCAAGAGCAGGTAAGGAATGGCTTGGGTACGGTTGATCTGTCTTGGCACGAGGGGATGGATTAGGTGGCCTCTAAAGGTCCCTTCTAGGTGTATTTGTTATGATGCTATGGACTTTCAAACCGGTAACCCTTACTTTGCATGGCTGTTTTTATTTATAGCTGCTAGATGAAATTCTACTCATAGGGCCAATTGTGTTCCTGAGACCAACATGCAAGGTAACCCTTCCCAAAAGGAAGTGCTCCTTTCATCTGGGAGAAGTAGCTGGCTGTGTTAATCTACCTTTCTCCTGGAGTTAAGGCAGGGGCAGGCAATTATTTCGGGTGGAGGGGCACTTACTGAGTTTTGGCAAGCCATCGAGGCCCACATGCCAGGCAGCCAGGGGCAGATAAATATTAATTTTCTAAATTTTTTAGGGGCCCCGCAGGTCGGATAGAATGGCCTGGCAGTTCGCATCTGGCCCATGGGCCACATTTTGCCCACCCCAGAGTTAAGGGCACTCTCAGCAGGTCAAGAGAGCTTTATAGCTTTCAAAGGTCTATAAAGATCAAGAGACCTTTATAGATTAGGGCTGGAAGAGACCTCATAAGATCATCGAGTCCAGCCCCCTGCCCAAGGGGCAGGAAATCAGCTAGGGTCAAAGAAATCCAGCAAGATAAGCATCCAAGTGTTTCTTAAAAGTGTCCAGAGTAGGTGCTTTCACCACCTCTGGGGGGAGTCTGTTCCAAGCTTTAGGGGCTCAGACAGTAAAGAAGTTTTTCCTTATGTTCAGCCTAAAACGGTCTTGTAGGAGTTTGTGACCATTGGACCTTGGACCTAGGTGGGTTGAAGGCTGGGTAGCCTGGTACCCATGGACAAGCACTGCGTCACTTTTGTGTACTTTCTCCTCTCAGATTTCTGAGAATCCCATGGCCAGAGGGGCACCAGGGCAAAGCCACCAGAGAACAAGAGCCTATGCATGGCACTGAATCTCTTTGCAGAGTCCCCTGCATCCATATACCCTCACAGGACATGTGGGCCAGACTTTTGTCTTTTACAGTTACAACACACTCCATGCTCTGTTCTCCTCTCAGTGAAGGAAGCTTTTTTTTTGCAGGGATACCAGAGCCATTTGCTCCTGGGCATTACCACAATGGGGAACCTTCTGATCCTTGGTTACAACAGTCTGACTTCACTGTATGTGAGAGCTGAATTAGATCTGTCACACTGATATGTAGTTAAATCATTCTTTTTTAAAACTTGTGGGAATGATTTAGAATAATTTTTAACCTGCTGATGTCTACCTTCTAGCTAGAGGAGATAGACCCCTTCCACAGAGCACTATATGCTAACTACACAGCAGTCAATATCCAGAATCATAATATATTCTTGTATACAGTCATAAGTGACTAACTGCTCCACATGTTCTGTAGCACAGGCCAGTGGTTGGCAAAGTTTTCTGGCAGCAGGCTAGAATGACCCAGGTTGGGTCCAAGGCAAGCTGGCACTAGGACCCGACTACTACCACTGCCACTGTTTCTCCCTGCAGCCTGGCCATAGCACAGGCCAAGTCCCCCACTGCTGAAGCACCCCTACTCTTTGGATCCAACTCAAGGGTTGTAGGTTGCCAACCTCTGTCATAAGCTATTAACATTACAAGAACAACAATCTGCCCTTTTAAGAAAAGGTCTTACCTTCTTGGTATCCCAAGCATGAAGTGTTCTAGCTCTGAGAAAATACTGCAAGTTAAGGACAACAGGATATCAGATTACTACTTCTCTCTTGCTTCCTCTGTTCAGCTTGTCTCAACTTTTTTTTTTTAATCAACATTTATAAAATGCTGAAAGCCTTCCAGAGACAATTTTGATGCATATGTTAGTAATACTTGGGCCTCTCACTCAGGCAGATGAAATTGTATTGAATAGACTATATGAATTGAAATTAAAATGGTTTTGTAGTAGACCCTGAGGCCTTCTTTTAATTATATCATTTCAGAGAAACTGATATGTTTAAGTATTTATGAAACAAATAGAACTGGGCAAATATGACAGGAAGGATTTTTGTGAATGTGGGTTCTTTTTTTTTTTTTTTTAATTCCATTTCAGCTGTGGTTGCCTTCCATGAGCATTCATGTGATCTAACATAAAGGGTTTTTCTTTGAACATCCATCACAGAAGCAAAGTCATAAGGATCAAGGGGGAGGGGAATCCTAAAATAATAGTATATGGCTTAAGAGTTAATCACAGCAAAGCCACACTGCAACATCACTTGGATGTCAGATATAGCAGCAAACCATGGGTTAAATTGTTATTAGCAAATAAACTAGACAAGATTGTGATTAGAGTATTGCTATTCAGTGTACATAATAAAAAGCAAAAGTCTTTAAATATAATATTCCTTTCGAATTATTTAGTGCTGAAAGTATAATGATTTGTCTTGCATCAGCTACATCTGCTGATCATAACAGGTAGACCCAAATGTCTCACATTCATCCTGTACAAATTGAGTGTGATTTAAGTCTCAGAGGTTCAAAGTAAACTGATCAGATTTCTTTTGGGGTTTGAGGTTAGCAAAGCTAAACAAGGTCTTCACAGCTGGTCTTCCAAGCTGTACCAGCCCCTCAAGCAAAACTAATTTCCCCTTCGCTTCTCAACTCCGATAGCTTCAGGAGTTCTTTGAGGTGAGTTGCGATCCTGTCAGTACACATCTCCTCAGTCTATATTCACTGAAGTGCAAGCTAAAATTTAACTGCAAATCTAGAGCTAAGTTTTAGTGGGTTTGGGATTCAATATGAACATGTTGTTTAGCCCTACTTGCACTACAGTAACTTTCAGAAGATGGTGGCAAGTCAGTGGGTTAGGTTCATAGGTAGTTATCATGACTTAGTACTGCTAGGTAGAAGGTATTATTCTACACAACCTAGATCAGGGCTGTCCAGCCTCTAAGTAGTTGGGAGCTGCATGCCCTGTGGGCCACACCAGTGAGGGTCATGGGCCACTGGGCTACACACTGCATGGCTGCCCCTCCTGTCACACAGCATGCCCACACCCATCCCCACTGCAGCACACATCGACATGGATGCTAGCCTTTCCCTTGCAATGGCCCCACATGGATGCCCTGTTCAGGATCAGGCCCCAGTGGCATGACACCTCTTAATGGCCACACAGCTCCTGTCTCACTGTCTCCTTGGGGACCCTGCTCTTTTCCTTCACCTATCATGTCTTGACGTCACTTGTAGTGTACAGGGAGGCTGCCCCTAGGACCCACAGTGTGCCTCAGCTCATCAGCCAGCAGTCCTTCTTGTGCCTAGCCAGTCCAGGTCTTGCCTCTAAGGCATTAAATGGCCGTCTTGGCTATATTGGTGCCTCAGAGGGCCAGTCATTTTATGGGCTGTGTTCATAGTCTCTGTCCTGCTCTGTAGTCATGCCTATGCCTCATAGATGTTACTCTCACTCTCATTATCAGCCTGCATAGTTTTCAGCTCTCTAAGCTTTAGCCCACTGGTTGCTCTACCTATGGACTCCTAGGCCTAGGCCTGCTTGCTTTGGCCTAGCTCCTCAGACCTAGCTTGTTTCCCTCTGCCTCAGGGGTCCAGGCCCTGGCCGTCTCGGTCACAGCCTGCCCCTGTCTCATCCTGGCCCAGGACTCAGGCTTGGACCCTTGGGTGGGCCTCTGGCCCTTTTCTGGGTTCAGCCTCTTGTGAACTCCAATTCCACCAGTTAGCTCTCTAGCCCTCTCAGCTCTGGCCCCATCTCTTATCCCTGCCCCTTTTGCAGGGCTCAAACTCCAAGTGCTTCTCAGGGACCCCTGTGTGGCCTCCTAACCATCCCTTCAGCCACAACATTGTCCACTGGTCTTTGCCATCCCTACCACTGCAGAACAAAAGACCCTGCCCGTCTTGCTACTTACAAAACAAAGATCAAATGAAACTCCAGGTCACCCCCACCCCGCACAAACTTAAAGCAAAAAAAGAAAAGGAAAAAAAGAGGCTTCTCCACCTGCATGCCACTTCGGGGCTCTCCATACCATCCCTCCCAGCTCCCCAGCAGCATGCCTCAGAGATCCTTTCCTTTCCTCAACCAGGGCTAGACTAACCCTGCTGGCCTGAGAGCAGCTCTTTTATACTGACAAGTCCCACCCCTTCTGGCCAGTCTGTTCAATCACACAGCACAAGCTCAGGATTCACTCATTGGCCTGTTCTGCCTTGCTTGGGTTCTGTGTACCTGTTGCAGGGCTGCTAGTGATTGGAAACCCTGTCTCCTCTCCCTGTGTTGCTTTTGTTTGCAATTCCCCCACTCTGAGCCACCATGACTTCCCTTAAAGGACCTTTGTAGTTGGAGGCCCTGCTTGTCCCGCAGCCTTCTCGCAGTAATAGGAAGAGGGGTCCGAGTTACACCTGCCCCCACCACTACAGCATGCATCTGTGCAGGCACACCGTCACTGCAAGGCATGTCTAGGTGGGCACTTCACACAGCTGGACCACGCACTTCATGGCCCCAGCTTCACCCTGAGTGGCCTGTGCTGTGCCATACTTCGCTGCATTGTCCTCTAGGGCCAGCACAGAATAGAACACAGAAGCCAGAGGAGGAAGGGGAAGCCTGGAGACTCCAGCTCCAGCTGGAGAGATAGGGAGAGTGGCAGCCTGGCTGCAGGCCACAACTTAACGCCTTGCGGGCTGCATGCAACCCGCAGGCTGCCCTGACCTAAATCTTGTCTCTGTCCTGCTGCTGTGCTACTGCAGCTGTGATCAGCAGAGGAGCTCAGTTGGAGCCCCTTTGCTTTAGATTTGAGGTGTCAGGCTAATGTTATTCTCTTATGAGGCTCTTCAACTCTGCAATTTGCTCATTGCCTCCGTTCACAGGCCCTCCAAATGCCTTATGCCCATTAACATAATTGAGAGTCTTTCCAGTGACTGTTGGGAACGCTGGATAGGAACTCTCTAGGCATGCTGCAGAGTGTATCTTTTCTCTCTGCTTTTGAAAAGGAAATGAGATAAGGGCTGGCTGGTGGATGGTAATTGTCTGGAACTGTTA